CAGATTAGAAACAGTGACGTTGCCTGGCTATAAAAAAAAAAGTTTAAGTGCCAAATTTTGAGGTAAGTCAAACGGTAACAGTTAGGTGTTCAAAACAGCGGCAATTCAAAGGTATATTACACGAGGCTGGTGGCGGTTTCGTCTCAAATGTACTCCTGTGCATTTTACTTTTTTAACAAAAATTTTTCGCCTTATTTCTCGAGTTTGGAAGAAGCTTTAATGGTGCACTTTACGTAGAAGATTTCGCAAAAACTAGGGTACTTTACAATCAATCGAAAGTAAAAGACTCATACTTACAGGTACAGAAAACTTTAGTAAGAGAAATAGCACTGTAAGGTTGCCTGGCTAAAAACCAGACCTAGAAGTACAAAAAGCTGCAATTTTGCCGGCGCACTACGACGTCTTGATGGTCTTACATGTAGAAGATTGTTTGGGCAGCTTCCTGCCAGTCGGTACACCTTATTCAGTTAAAATATCAAAAATTTTCAAATTTTTTTGAGGAGTTTACGCCCAAGTACAAAAAACGGAAGAAACCTGAAAAAGTAAATTCCTGAACAATTTACGTTTCCTCAATGCTGTAAGACTTGCCAGGCCGCTGCACAACACGCCGATCTTTATAAACCTGCAATCCGTTTGCTCCTGATAAAATTAATGACTTTCGGTTTTTAAATTTCCCATTTTTCATTTCAAATATACATAAAATGGCTTAATTCTGCTGAACAAGTGTATAGGTAAGATAAAAATGATGTCCCAAACAAATATAAGACTTGTCTTTAAACTTAGAAAGTGTTTTGTGTATCATTTTTCGCTCTACGATTTATCAAGAAGTAGTAATGGCATTTCTTCGGCGTTGAGAGCTACGAGCCGGGAAGGTAAGTGAAACTGAAAGTAACCCACTGCCTCTGTAGCAGTCTCACCAATTTTACATGACAAAATTCTTTCCAGTTGCTTCTAAGGAAAAGTTAACAAATTCCACTTTGTCTTAGTCGCTAAAGATCCGTTAAAAAAAAAATATGTTCTACACTAAAATATTTACAAATTAGCATCCCGCAAAGTTGCAAGGATTAGATGTTATTTCAGCGTCCTCTGCTTCCTAAATACTGCGGATAATTAAAAGACCGATGAGGAGCACCCAGATAACAAAAAAATAGAGGTACCATTAATATTTACAGCATAATGAGTCCTGTTGGTAACGAACGCATGGAACACGTGAACCTTTATTTTGATGTTTAGAAGGTTAGCAAAGAATGTGACTTCTGAGCTCTTAGAAGCGTATTCGTAGTCCGCTCGTCAGAGTTTCGATTGTAAAAGTGAGTCCAATTCTACTAGTTTCCTCTAACATCATAAGTTGTAATCCCCAAAGCTGGATGTGCCACAAAAACTTTATGAAAAACCTGCATCCTCCACATAATTGATTAAAGCACCAGATTTCAGAAAATCCTCATCTTCCCGGAACATATAAAACATAGCTAGACAATTTTGACAGAAAGAAGACAAGAAGCAGAAAGCACTAGAACAATGCTACTCCTTACACTCTTGAAGTATAATAGTTTTTGATATTTTTTATAAGTATGACTCTTTGAATAAATCTTTGGCAATTAAAAAATACTGGATTTTGAAAATGATCCAGTGCTTTCACAATAATCTTATCCAATTCGCAGCAGCAAAACTGCTCTCCGGCACTTTCAGAAGCCACTGGAGACGGTTACTCCTTCATAAAAGAGTGGGAGTACTGTGAAAGCAATGAGTTATTCCCATTCTTAAATTGCATTCCAGCCTAGAACTTCTAACGCCGGAGAAATGTCACCATCAATCTTTTGTCTTTTATGAGCTAAAAATTTTATACAAAACATTTTTTTTTTCAAATTCAAAAGTAAGCTCCTTTAAACCTTATTTTAAAATTTGTTTTTATTATATCTATAAAACTGTTCAGCAAAATTACACCATCTAACACGCATTTAAAAGCGGAAATGGAAAATTTAAAAAACTGTGTCAAACAGAGAAATTTCGCAACTTTATGAAAGCGTAACTTGCCGAAGAATCCATTCTCCAAAGTTCTCTTTTTGGTTTTTTATAGACCAGGTGTAAACTTTACTGGTCAGGAAAATTTAAAGAAATTTAGAGGTACCAAGAGGAAAAAAGTGCCAAATGGCATGGGATCATATGAAGATTTAAGTGGGATTATGTCTTCATAAACCCCAAGCGAGTAGTCCCTCTTCAACTCTACCATCTAAAAAGCTGCTAGCCAACCTGCTCCCCGGAGCTGCCATTGTGGAAGATTACCGCGGCAAAGATTTAACCTAACTAATGATTTCGCTAAACGGTAAAAAGCGCGAAAAAACGGAACCGTTTAAATTAAAGCTGCTCGGCTACATAACTCTGTGACCCGACCGGGTTCCATATTAGATATTGACGATAAAAAAAATCAATAAATGATTTGAAGGCAGAAATAATTGTAAGGCAATAAAACGTACCTGCAAGTTTTAGTGCCTGATAAGTGATAATAGCAAGTAAAAATACATCCGCATAAATTTGTTAAGAAAACCAAGATTTATAATGGTCAAAATGTTTAAATCCTCTTAAACATTGATGTTTTTTTCACTACCGCTTTTAACAGGTTCAATAGCACACAAAAAGGATACTAAGGCAGTAAAGTGTACCTAAATGTAGTATCATTGCGGTTAACCTGAACAAAACTGATGGAAAAAGTGCTCGGACTTCCTTTTTTCAAAGCTTAGTTCCATAAAATTTCAAGTTGTTTTAAACTGACCGCCAAGTTTACCAAGTTTCATTGACTCGAACAAAGCCTTCAACTCAGCTCTTACACCCAAGTGACTCTAAGTTAAATTTTTTCTCAAGCTAAGCAAGTATAATCCCATAAAACAGTATGGAAGTAAAAAAACTGGTTAGACCAGGTGACTGAGATTAATGTTAAAAAACTGACAAATAAAGTTATATGAAAAAACAAATCAAAAAGGCACGAAACAGTTTTTTGAACAGAATTACAATTTTTTCAGACCGACTGGGTCAATCGGAATGATAAACAATGCACAATGCACGGTATAAAACGATTAGTCAGTGATGAAAAAATAAACACACTGTCGACCAAACCATTCCCTCCATTTCATATCTGGTCATTCATTCACTCCCTTCATGGATTTTACAAATTTAGTGGCAAGTGAAGATAACTGAAACTTTTTTTGTTATTCCGCATATGACACCGTGCGGAAGGCGGTTCGGACAACATCAGTTTATGCAATAATATTAAAAACCAAGTAATTTAGAAGTCTATTACATGTCAATAGGAGAAACTACCGTGGTCTCCGTAAATGCAGGGGAAGAACAATAAGACTCCAAACTGGGCCCTAAGCCCTCACTTTGCTTAAGTGTCAAAACTCATGACTTTTGAATCTGAAACAAAATACGCCCAACAGAAGTCGTACTCTGAAACTGAAATTTTTGTAACAAAACTTTGTTAGGCAAATAAACCGCTCATTTTTACATTCCCAGGTATTCGGTAAAAACTGTGTTGCCCTTCCACGTATTGTGCCTCGGCTTGGTGTACTTTTCATCAAACGGAAACGCACAATAAATTTATTTTTACATTCAGTGAGGAGTTTTAGCAGCACCACTTCAACATAAAAAAAAACTGAGCGAGCATATGAGTGCTTGAGCAGTGATAGAATGATTGCCTTGCTGCTGTGACAACTATTCATTATCTCAAAAAATAAAACAGATCAAACTGCAAATAGAACTGCACAAAAAGGTATTACAACAAACTTTGATCTTCAAGTTCCTCCAAAAATAAATAACCTGAGAAGTGGAAGGTACATTTATATAACTCAATAATCCACAGCGAGTGCTGCAGCAAGTAATTCGTAGCAAAAACTCAAAAAACCAGAAGAAAAAACATTTAAAGAGCGACGAATAAATTGAAACTCCATTAAAATTTTTACCCGCAGATCTCTATTTCACTTAAAAAACCAAAATCAAAGTAGTACCTGCAGTAGGAAAATCTATAACTTACGCCCTTCAGAAGTCTTTCCATTGCTTCTCGCCAACTTTAAAATTTCATCAAAATAAGTTTTTTGCAAGGCACACGAGAAAAAAAAAAACAACGGGATTAGATGTAAAATTCACAAGAAATAATTGATAACTCAGATTTGTAAACAAATGAACAAACTAGGATGATCTCAAAAGAACTGCAAGGACAAAGCAGGAATTCTGTTATAAAATCAGCTCTATAAAAAACAAGATGACATGTGAAGCATTAAACCTTGAGCTGTTCTTCTACTTGTTCACGTACTTTTGCGTTCGGGAGACGGATAAGATACGCAGCAGGAGTAGTCCCATTAACACAGCTCACCTGAAATGAGAGGATAATTTATAATCTGAAAAAATAAGCGTTCATTTCACGCTGTTTTCGAAAGGAAATTGTATGAAAATTAGCAACAGAATAAAAAGTTAACAAGCAAAACAGGAAGATAAATACAATGATCAAACCTAACTTACCCTTAGTTTTGTATCATCTGCTTTCGCACATTTAGTATTCTTATCGATATAGCTGTTCACCCAAACTGCTGCTGGAAACGTTAATTTTATCAGATTGTCACAGCATATTATAACAAACAGGAATGATATTCTTGATTCTCTTTATATGAATCATAAGAAACATTAGCCAAAGAGCACAGCTAATAATGAAATCCTTTAACTTGAAGTAAAATAAAAAATCATAATTAACTGGCATACTAAGCGAAGCAGATGTAATACCTGTGGCTGTAGCAGCTCTAATCAATAGTATTTTCTTCTCATCGCCATCGCTTTTCTTGATATGCAGTTGACCAATGCCAATTTTCTCATATTCCTTCCCCTTCAGCACAAATACAGAACATCTGAAAGTGCGAAAGTGAAAACCACTGCTTCAGATGGAAAATACGACCTCCTTAGGCAAATGAATAAACAGTAAAAATAAAGTGGACCATTACTTTGTGGAAAGAACAGCATCAGGCTCTTCTTGCAATATTTCTTCTGGTTTAGGTGGTACATATTCTTCTTCCTTTTCTAAAAAATGGCGATAAAGTGCTATAATTACTAGTAGTACAATAAAGTCCAAGTAATAATACAACCTTCAGTTGTCGCTGATTCAGATGCAGTGGCAGTACTGCTGGGAGAGCCGAATTTAAAACCTAGAAGTTTCTTATTAAGAGGCAAAATAACAGTAACTTATGTGACCTCATCAAAAAAAAAAAAAAGAAGCACCTTACCTGAGAGAGCCCCTGGCGCTAAAGGTTTCACACCAGAAACATCTGAAGTTACCGCTTTTGTTGGTTTGAAAGCAAAAACTAGTTTCGGTGGCGTGTCAGTCTTAAGACCAGGTCCTGACGATGGAAAAGTTAATCTGCAATGCTTTATCTTACTTCACGTACAAACAGCAGTCGTCTAATTGGTAAAAAGAACTAACATTATATTGAATTAGGAAGTAAAAAAAAACCAAGGTTTTCAAAACTCCCCAAAAAAATTCAAACACAACTCAAAGTACATCAATTTTTCAAAACTAGCTACAGAACCCCACAAAAGTTAAATATACTTGGGGAGCTGAGATGTGGGTTTCTCGTCACTCCCATTCGACTTCCCAATACTAAATAATGAAGTTGATTCACTGCCGGCTACCAAAGAACTTTCTTTTTCTTTATCAGAATTCTTGGTCAACAAATTACTATTGTTGGTGCTGCCAGATGAAGACCCGAATGATAATGCTGAGGAGGTTTGAGAAGCGCCTTCCGAAATCTTCTCATCGTTAGTATTTTTTGAATCATCTTTTTTCGCTATTGACGCTCCGAAAGAAAAATTTGGTGTTTTCGAAGTGCTAACAGCACTGGAAGTTGTTCTGGTCACCTTAGCCCCATAAAAAGAAAAGAAAGAATTTTTCGGCATTTCGCTTGCAGTTCCATCAGGTGGCGAATTAGTAGCAGCTTTCTTACAAGAGTCGTCCTTGGGCAAATCCTCGTTTGTTGTACTAGAATTCGAAGAAAATTCACCTTTGTCCTAAATATGCATCATATCCTATCAAAGAGTAAAAGAAGAAACAGCTAATAATTTATGAGCTACAATAATGCAGTTCAATACCTTTGGAATTATGGTAACGAAATCGTCACTATCCGGACCCCCTCTGTTTGCTCGCTTCCTTCCTCTCCTTCCAGAGCCTGGAAAAACAAAGAAGTAAGAAAGTATTAAACAGATAGGAAATATGACAAGCAGAAATAGCCACTGATGGTTTCACTTTTAAGAAATGCCGCTCACCACCATCATTTGCAGGAACAGTGGACACAGGCGAGCTTGAAGAAGAGCTATCAAAATTAAATTCTTGAGTTGGATGCACTAAGTTTTGCAGTAAACTATTTGCTGTTGTAGGTTTCTTGACTGCAAATGACAGGTCATTGGCAAGGGGTTTTTCAGCTATTTCGGACGCATTCTCCCGGGGCCTCCTCGGCGTCAGAGACAATTCATAAGTAACTTTCCTCTCCATTGTTCGTCTGGCAACCTTGATTGGTCGTTTCTTGATCCTTTCTTCAGACGGTTTACCGCCATACATATCATCCAAATTTTCTACATGCTTCAAATAATCACGTACCGTTGGCGACTAAAATCATTCAAAAAGTTACGTCTAATACAATTTAAAACAGCTTCTTCATATGGAGCAGACGTGATAAGACCGGCTCTTCAAAAACTTACAAGGTCAGCATCAGGCATGTCTTTCACACAGCTCTCTATAACCTTTAGAAACGTCCGGTTTAGGAGAGTCAACTTATCTAGGAACATCTTCTCATACTCCACATTTTTTTCCGTCTCAAAACCAATCGAAGACGACATTGCAGCTTCAAAGAAAGTTTTAGATCACTTCGGTATCCTCGAAAAATCAAATGAACGTAGAAATCACAACAAAATAGCTGGACTTCACCGGCAAGATATGCGTCGTCAAATAACTACATAAATCAAGGATTATATCTATCCAGCACATCAGCTTATTAATTTTTCACTTCAGTAAGAAAACTCTCATTCCCAAACTCTGATGAACTTTACCCTACAGGCCGGCCGAGTCTTCCCTGTTCAAAAACCACTTGCGGAAGCAAAAATCTCTCCATAGCCTGGTTGGAGAAAACAATAACTACGGTAAATGTAAACGCGTGATTCGAAAAAGCAAACAATGATCTTAACTAAAGAACCATACTCCAAAAAACACCGTTGATCTTCAAATAATTCAGAAAAAAAGCAAAAGCACTTTGCACCAGAAGCGATTTTCTATTTCCCCCTCACCCGTAGACGCTCTGCTCTATCAAACCAACTAGTCAAGTTCCTACTATGCTTCAAAAACACAATAGCTGGAGGCAAAAGAAAACCACTCTATTTTCCCACTAGGCCAGCGTAAACCGATTCCCATAAACTCCCAGGAACAATGGCGGGAAAACTTTACTGGTGCTGTTGTGTATTTCCATCTCTCCCTTAACCGCCGTGCATCTTTCATTACTCTTAACGTTGCTGCCATTGCCAGCAAATGCTACTCTTTGCCAAACACCTTTACAGTATTTTCACCACTCCAAGCATCGTGCCGACACATCTTTATTCAAACTGCTCAGTTAGCCATTTAACGATATCTTTAATCAGTGACTGGCATGTGTTGAGCTCAGTAAACTGTGGTATTCAGCGACCTTCTCTGCTGTATCCACTCACATGAAACCTTTCATATATATATATATATATATATATATATATATATA